TAAAGCCTGCCATTAACGCCATTCGTTATGACCTTAAAATCTACCAATGACGATTTAAGTAACAGTCGTATTTGGATTCCATTTTCAATATTATTACTCCATAGGATGTGTCCGGATTTCTGCGATAAGATACATACCTGGGCTGACTGTACAGAACGCGGCCGCACCCAATCTACTCATCTTCGCGGGCCGGCGAAAGAGAAGGTAACGAAGATACTATGGAAAAGCTTTTGTAAATCCTTGTTTGTAAAACAAACGGCCAGCGCAGCCAATGTACAATATTTAGCGAACGTATCTAAAGGCTGAAGCTTGATGGGCGTACACTATTAGTGTAACCGCGGTTTCATGCCTCGGAACCAGACCGTGGCTGCGGCCTGGCGAGGGCAAACCGGACTGCCGGTTCAGCGAGCGAGTCCAAACCGGACCGCCGGTTTACCACAGAAAGCTCGAACCGCACTATTAGTCTGCGGACTAATAGTGCAAACCGCAGTTCGCACTAATAGTCCAAAAAACCGTCTGCACTATTAGGAGCGCTGCCCGTCAGCAATACGAGGCGAACCTCCACTGCCAGCCAAGGACTCGCTACGTTGACAAGCTCGGGCGGCATGATTTCGGGGAGTTTGTGCCTGTTCTGAACCTCTCGATAACGAAATCGGACCCTCCAGGCCTGTTCAAGAGCTACGAAAGTTGTCTCTGCAAGATGCGGTACAGAGAGGGGGTACCGAGCTGTCCGGGCTTTCGCACTCGCTTATATATTAGTTTTCAAGCGTGCTGGTGATCTCGTTGAATATAAGATTATACGAATGGTCTGTGGGGACGCCCTTCCCTTCAACTTGACTGATGGACTTGCATCACGGCAACCGAACAAATCTCACATCGTCAAGAAATAGCAAACAAACCCTTTTTACCGTTTTCAGGCCTCCATAAGGGGCATCAAGGGATTGATTACAGAAATGCGTATAGTACTCAGAATGTCGTTCATGCGCTGATTTAGAAATGCAAGACGCAATAAGTAAGCAATAATAGATATCCATGCGTCGTAGATCCCCTGTTTGATCCACAGGAGAGGGACCAGTACCAACAATACACCGTCGACAAACCGAGAATGTACTACTCTTCTACCTTTCATCGCTCGAGAAATAGCGGAAGCGCTCTCAATGGCGCCACAAATTCTCTCCGAACAGTTCGAATCTACCTCTACCAGACGTACAAGATTGATCCGCTCATGAAAATAAACCACTCTCCAACCGGCCGCTAGGGTATCCGGCACCACGCAACGCCTCTTCCTTAACACCTGAAAGTCTCGCACAAAAGAGAGCAGCAGATAGGGCAGCACAGCGAGCCCTGCGTTTAAGAACGAAGAAGCGTAACGAGCGTCTCACGCACGAGATGCAGGAATGTTGGAGCGATGCTGGCCAAAACATAGTCGTTGACAAACTCAAGCGCCGCAACCAAATGCTTGAAATGGAAATTCTCAATATCTGATGAGGTCTGGCAAAGTCTCTGTACATATTTCTGAACGAACTGTTCCTGCTTTACATGTATCTCGCTCTACTACGGGCATCCGCTCAGTCTGACTGGATCACTCATGATGTTGCAGAAAAAGCCGCAGGAATCATCTTTCCAGATTCCGTGTCAGTCTGCGAACCATCATCCAGCACAGTGTGCGAGATTAAGAATCAAGATCAAAACCATGTATCCACAAAGTAACCAAATTTGTTAGTATGATCGTATGGAATTTATAGCAAAAGAATCTTGACTCTGATGGCTAGTCCCGGATAAATTGTCGAGTGGTGAAAGGAAAACGTACTCCGTGATCGCTATGGCCATTGAGGGGCAAATTTGTACCTCGAGACTAGGGCGTGGTTTCTCATGACAGTAGGAGTTTCACCAGGGACTGACTGGAGCGCCACGAGTCTGTCTGCCGAGGTGGAAGATGCGCCAGCAAAACGCAAGACATGGCTAAGGCATAGAGTGCAGAATGAACTTTGCCGCTTTACTGAGCAGGTGTTTGGGCAACATAGTATCAGCTCGCTGAACTGCCGCTTTACTGAGCAGGTGTTTGGGCAACATAGTATCAGCTCGCTGCACTGCACAGTAGACGGCATTGCCATGGCTAGTCTCGAAGAAAAGCTAGATCGTGATTACCTCTCAATCACGCAGGTTTTACTGCGTCGAGACCTTTTTCTGTCACTAAAGGTACAGTATGTATCAACAGCTCTCTCGTAGTGTTATTGTCACGTTATGTGAGGCAGTTAGCTGTCATTGATTCTGTTATTGTTATTGTTGAACAGCTTGTCCTTTTTTTGTTCCTAAACTTAACAATCCAGCATTTAAATACGTCTGAAAACTGCTACCTGACAGGCAGCAGTGTTACGACAGAATTTGCCACCCAGGTAGAACGCTTGCGTATTGACCCAACAGAGGCAGCGTTATCCGACAGTTATAGGTTCCCTCGGTGTAATGGCAAGCAGCCTAGTTATCTTGCCGCATTTCTCAGATCTTGGGAGCAGCCCCCTTGAAATTTCTTGAAGGCTCATCTCTTTTTTGTAA